TGTTTGTTCTACTGTCTCCTACAGAAGCAGCAGCAGCATTTTCTAAGTTATTAGAAAATATTTTCAAAAATGTACAACACACACACACACACACGCTCAACGCTGTTCTGTCACCCACCAGATCCAGCAAATGCGTCAGCAGCGGGACCTGCAGCCACAGAACCAGGGCCATCTCCTGGGGAAGGTGCAAACGCATCTATGGTTTTCCAGAAGAAAACAACCAAGACACACCAAAAAAAAAGGGCCAACACAGCGACAAACACATGGAAAATACAGAAGACAAAACAAAAAAACATGAAGTCAGCATCGGGGGGGGAAAGCAGAGAATACAAGAAATATGCAGCCCAGGTTCATTTGGTAATAACAACAGGTCATATGGTTGGAGTTTTTTTTTTTTTTTTTTTAAGGGCTGCATAATATTGCATTCAATGGCTGCACTCTCTGTGCAGGAGTGTGGGATGAGGCCAGTGGACACAGGACACTTGTCCACTGGAACAGGTGTAGAGAAAAGCAATTCCAGGGGACAGGGAAAAGATACTCATCAAGTGTTAGACCTTTTGGTGAAGCTCAAAATGCCAACAATTGATGACTGTAATCCAGCCGTTCATCATCTTGACATAGTTAAGCCACTGTTCGCAGGTCATTACAGGGGAAACAGTATTAATCACAATATAGAAAATAGAAACAAAATGTTGACGCATTGAGTCATAAAGCTGATTCATTACAATGCAGAGGGTTTACTGAGCTGCACAGGAATGTAACCAATCATCAGCTCTAATGAATGCTTAAAACAAGCTAATGTCCTGAACGTGATGACAAGATTGTTCTCCCTGTGTGCAGCATTTCAGAAACCCAGACATGGTACTGTAAGTAATCCACTGTGTATCAGGTATTTGGGGGGACATGCCAAAAATGATGAATGTGTCGCTCTGTGCTTGGAGCAAAAACAGGGAGAATGTGAAGTCACATCAGTGTTGATGGTTGTTACAAATGTGGAAGCAGAAATATTGGAATAATGTGAGGGGAGAGATCCATCACATGAGTCACACCACTAAGCATCCAATCTTCAGAGAAAAAGAATATATTCACTTTTTACCACCGTTGTCAGCTTCAGACTTCAAGGACTTATTTTCACCAAGGAGAAAAAAAATGTAATTCAATAGGTGTCTCAGTGCAGGCCAAATATTTAATTTCCTTTTGCTCAGGAATGGTAATCACAGCTACCTGGTATGAGAGCTATAATTCAGTTTTATACAAAAAATGAAATAAAATAAAATTTGAAATGGTAACTGAGTAGGAAGGTGAGAAAAAGAGGCTTATGAGGCAGAATTTGACTGAATTAGCCATAACAGAGGGGGTACTTTGCCATTTAGAAGACGTTTCCTTTAAACCCAAGTATACTGTAGCTCAAAGAACTAATTCACCTATAATTGTAGTTAGTACTAGCCAAGTAAGCAGTTTTGCTAAAATTGTAAGCCAAAACGTATCTTAGTTAATGGATAAATAAACATTGTTAAAGCTAATGGAAAAAGACCAAAGTTTGACAGAACATTTTGTTAATTAAAGGATACATTAACTACAGTAGCTACGCTGTTAGTTCACCACAAATCAACAATAGCTTGCGAGTTCTCTGGAGACTTCCAAAGATTATCCTCAGAATAGGTAAGTTTGCCATAACAGAAATATGGCTCGTATAAACTTAAAGGTAACTCAAAAATGTAAGTAAAGGTTTAATTCATAATGTCATACAAATATGGTCAATCACTTGGTGAGGAATTAATCAGAATAAAAAAAATATTTCTCTGAAACTCAGACATTAGATGGTGATTTGATGCAACTTTCTAAAAATATTTCTCTGAAACTCATTAGATGGTGATTTGATGCAACTTTCTGTAACATGTGAAACCAGTGTAATAAAATAAAATTGTCCCTGTTTTGGGACAATTTGGGAGTTTCTAACTTACGCTCTATCATGCTTGTGTGGTTCTACAAAGATTAAGGACATAAAAAAGGCAGACAGCCTCCCTCACTGACCTCCAAAAAGATCAATGTCTGAGGTTGTGGCCGGTGCAGAGATGGGCAGAGAGGCGGGCACTGCTGGGGCTGCAGCAGCAGGAGCTTTGGGTGGAGCAGATGAAGAGGTGGCAGCAGCAGCAGCAGCACCAACACTGGCATCAGCAGACTCTCCCTTTTGCTGCAGAGCTTCAGAAGTTCCATCAGACGCTGCCGGGGTTGCTTTTTGATAAAAGCCCAAATACAGAAGCAAAATGCAGCAACAAGAAAAAGTTTAAAGACGAAGACAAAGAAAATCATAAAACTGTGAGCAATAATATAAAACCCTGGATAGGACCTTGGATTTAATGGACAAATTACTCACCCCCGGCCAAAAGATCTGCACAAGAGACAAACAGGAGAGGATAAAATCCATTTAAGCATTTAATACATTGATTCCACTAATTCTGAGGCAACAATTTGCTCCAGGCTAGAATTGAATTACGACATGTCTGAATCTCCTACTACACATCTATCTAGACTTCAGGATAAATAAAACAAAAAGTTTAGATACAAAGTTCCAAACATGATAAAGTTGGCCATAAACACCACTGGAAGCTAAAACTCGGGTCAACAACAGATAAAACCTACACAAGAAGCTATTAAATAACTGAGGCCAGGTCAATTAAATCAAGCAGTAAGAAAGTACAATAAGTTAAAGTACTGGATTTTAATAGAGAAATCAAAAGTGCACATGTGGCCAAAAATAGAAAAACACCCAAAGAGTCTGATATCCAAATGGTTTAAAGGCTGTGGTTTTTAACATTTCTGAGTAGTGGGGGTTGGACTGTGATGGTGAAAAAGATTACAGTGCAAATAATAACCTGTGAAAATATGATTCTTCTTTGAATTGCTTATTTAAAATATTTAAATAAAGTATGTATTTATGTACTTATTTAAAGTATTTAAAATAGTTTAATGCTCCTAAACCTAAACGCTGAGTACATAAGAAAAGGTGTATACAGTATGTTTAAACATCAATAAAGAGCAAACCTCCCCATCCTGTTGTGGACATAGCAGCTGCAGCGCCCCCCGTTGACGAAGATGAAATCGGGTCTAGATCTAACAAAAAGCCATCATCAAGGGCACTAAACAGGAAAAAAGAATTGCATTGACAAAAGAAGAAAATAAATGAAGGCAGAGTCAGAGCCGAGACAACATGATCATTTATGATAATGTACATCAATCAACATTATAATTCTTTAAAAATATATACTGTACAACACCAATGTTCTGCAGTACCTGAATGATCCACCAGGGGGTTGTGGATCATGAGAGGAACTTTTAGACAGAGGTATTGATTCAACAACAATAAGTATAGTTTTTCTTTAGTCACCTGGTCGTGGTTTTTGCAGCAGCAGCAGCAGGTGTCGGTGCAGTAGGAGTGACAGCAGGTGGAGGAGGTTTAACAGGAGGCCCAGGGCGAGGAGGAGGCCCCCCAGTGGTAGCAGGAGGAGCTGGTTTAGTTGGTGGTACAGCTGCAGCTGGAGCTGCAGCAGCAGCAGTTGCTGCTGTGCTGTTGTTAGCTTTAGTTTCCTGCCACAGAAGAACATGGTCATCACACAGTTAGTGACCAACACTATGCTACATTATGAGCTTGTACAGCAGGACTCTGTATAATGTATCACTACTACTCACCGTTGTAGGCGACCTGTAGGAACAACAACAGAACATGAGTTAAAGATGTTAGTGATGCAGCTGATGATAAACAACAGTTGTTATTGAGATGGAGGCAGAGTGACGGCTTAAGCATCACTTTAATGTTAATGATACACAGGTTCTGAAAGCAATCACAGTTTATACTTTTGCATTTTGAGGAGACATGCTTTACTACAGTGTTGACACACAAGCTCCAACTCAAAACAGTTCAAATGAAATTGTTAATGAGAAAACTCAATAAACATATAACGACCACCAACTCTTATTAGTATTAATCTGAAAGAATCTGGTGTGACTGTGAGATGACAGCAAATACATTTTAGTAAAGTTATAAAAATAGATGTCAGAATGGGAAAAAAATGAAAAAGTGAAATTCAATCTTGTTATAGAACTGGATCTTGAACAAGCATTTCTTAAGAAATGATAAATATATATCCGTCTTGTTCCGACACTGTTCTATAGCAACAGAGACTGTTGAATTATCAGGTTTCTCACTGACACAGAATACTTACTTATCCTCCCTGAGCAGGGCGAAGATAGAAAACGGAGTGTTACAAATACAATGGTTAGAAGTGATACAGTTACTAATGTAACACATTGTCACAACACAGAGATTATAGATCAGCAAAAGAAAGACACTAAAAAACTGAACTAAAAACATCATTTATTCACCAGTGAATATATTTTCATTGAACGCAACGTTCATATTCTATATCCTTAGTTGAGTCTAAGGAGAGTAAATTATTAATCTATTGAATAGGAAAATAAAACCAATGACTTTGGACACAGCTAGAACTGTTCAATCAGCATGGTTGGAGAAGACTACTGAATTTTTAGCCTCAAAACAAAACAGTGTTTCTCCTTAATGCATCTGACACCGAAAGATTATTTTCATCATACCTTACAGCATATACAGAATATAGAGATGGAGTTAACAACTGGAGGTTTACTCTAGATCATTTAAAGCAAACATGTCTGGACTTACGGTTTCTTCCCCTCCAGAGTGTTCAGGTGTGTCTCCAGTGACGCCAGAAGACTTTCTGGTGCCTGATCAAACCACAGGACCCGCCGTGGGAAGACAGACGACAATTAAAAACAAACAAACAAAATGACAAATGATTAGATCAATCATGTGGTCTCAGCAGAAACACTACCTTAAGTTATGCATCACTTTGACATAGCCGCAGTTTCATAATATTTATATCAATATTGCAGAATGGATGTTGGTGCATTTCAAGATGCCACAAGTTCCACATTTGTTACAGCACTATGTAAATACAGCTGTGGCTGTCGCCGGTATAAAAACATGCTGAATCATCTCCAGTAGTCACTGTAAGAAAACTCTAAACACTACACTGTGCATGTGTAAGGTGACTGGCACTGCATTAGTTTACATAGAGCTACTACAATTACACAGTGTTCCTACCATACTACAGACGTGTGAAACAGTACCAGAGTAAGGTACACATCAACAGAGCCATTCAGACGATCATATTACATTTCCTTATCATTCCAGTATCGTCTGAAGGAGACGACAGCAGAGATTGGTGACTCAGACCGAGACGATTCCATTTTACTTCTACTGATGTGGGAGATTTATATGGTTTGCTATGTGGGAGGCATAAATTCACTTTTATTACCCATAGACTAACTCAGTTCTAAAGAACAAGCCCGGGATCTCTTTAGACCTTGGCAGTTAAACTCCCAATCCAAAACATGTATGAAAGATGGAGACATATTTTAAAGCAGGACTCAAGTGTTTGTTGTTGTCTTATTGACAGTAAAATTAAAATGTTTCATAAAATTCTTAACACCATCTGTTTTAGCGATTTAAATGCTATCCTTTAGCCAAATAAAAGATTGTAACAACCGTGGATGCCTGGCTTTTTTTTAACCTCAGACACAATTCCTGATGTAATGCAGGGTTGAGGAATAGGTGGAGTTGAGTCCATAGACTTCTGTGTGGCAGGCAGGTATCCTACCACTGTACCATACTGAACCCATTGAACAGAAAACAGCCTGAGAGAACTTAAAGATGGGATTATTCTAAAGGATTTATTATTCAATCTTCCTTTGACACTGTTATAAAAGTGTCATACGAGGCAGCTTGTTCCACTTAGCATGCATGGACTGTTTGAAAAATGGTTTTAGTTAACGGACATAAAGTGCATGCTATTTATCTGAGCCTTTTACACTGACATTTTGAAATAAATGAGCTCAGTAGAAGTCTTTCCACAGCAAGACAGGGTCAGTGTTTTTAAGAAGAAATTAGGCAGAACAAAGAAGGAAAGTGACATGGAGAGTCTGAAGCCAAAGCTAAACTAAGAACCTGCTGCTCTTTTTACACTCAATCTATGTTTAGCAGCTCAAACAGCCTCCTGCTCTGTGACATTGCTCAGAACATCACATTTTATCCAATCACTCTTCCAGTCACATCCTCCTGCTCCAGAGCTGCCAGCGTCTGTCTGCTGGGTGTGGACCAGCTCTGCAGTGCACTTGCTCTCTGCAAATAATTCTGTGCATAAGTTTCAGTTGTGACCTTCTCTTGCCTTTGCTTGAACAAAACCAGGTCTGTGACGCTTCTAGTTCGCACTCTAAACCTATATGATCGAGCTGCATCTCTGGGGTTAGAAAACTGAAGGACAAAATGAATCAAGAACAGGGTGATTATGGGAAATAAAAGTGGGATATGGCACTAAATGCAGTTAAGTAGGAAACAGCCCCAGGGACTTGTTATTCTGTGAAAGTCTGTTGTAGTCATTAGCTGGCTCTTACCTGGGTGAGTTCTGGTATGTCATTTTTGTCGATTCCCACTTGCTGTGGAAGAACACAGGATCATTTTAGTGCCACAGTTAATAGAAAGTACATTAATTTAATATTGTGGCTCGTTGTTTATTTCTACCTCAGCTAGTTTAAAGAACTCAGAGACTCGAGTCATCCGTGTCAGGAATCTCTTGTAGATTTCCAGTCCATCTTTACATTGGCCTCTCTTCATCTGGAAAAATTTTTCTAAAAAAAAAAACCCAAACAAATATATTAGAAATAATGGGACTTTTTCTTCTCTGAAAAAAAAGGAAAAAAAATCAGCTGTTTCTGACAGTTACTGGTGGATGTCCCTGTGGGTGGGACTCAAATCAATCAAATCAAATGAATCTCATCGATCTGCTGCTGCCAAACTCTCCATGAACCGAAACTCTGCGGTTTATTTTGAATTGACTCCATATCCACTCCGCTGCTGCAATTACTCCCAAGCATTCTCATTTCACAGAATAGACCTCAAATGGACAATTCACTTTCTCTGCCACCCTGGGTTTAGCTGAGTCATTCGTTTTTTAATATTGCTGTGAAAACAAATGCATCAATGCGGAAGCGCTGATTTGGAAACCAATAACACAGTTCACTTGATGCATTCAATCCCTGCAATGCTTTGCTCTGACAGGGAAAAACTCTTTACCTAGCAGGTTAATAATGCCGTCGTTATAGCAGGCATACAACTTTATCAGATCCTTAAAGAGCAGAAGAAAACAGGCGTTTAACACTCCGTGGTTCAGGTCCTTTTGATGAACCTGTAAAATACAGAAGACAAAAAAATGTAATGTTTAAGAAAGTACTGCAATAAGACACTATGTCTCCTTTTACAGATGATGTTAAATGTTAATTTATGACGAGTTCAGTGTTGGCCTATATTCAGTGAAAATACATAATGACATTGTATTAAACTCTTTAAGATTATATACTAAAGTGTTTAGGGGTGTCACTAGAAACAGCCCATTACTAACTTGGATCAGGTCAGTAGTTCATTTAAAAAAAAAAAACAATCAAAGCAAATTAATTATTGTTTACAGTGTGAGAAGACCTGATGTCTGTGTCTTCACACACTATGGTTCTATAAACCCAGCTAACAGTGTCTTCTTTTCTTGTGTCTCTGCCAATTTAGCTTAATTGTAAATGGACTCTGTTGTTTATGAGTCGGTGTCACTAACATCAAAATCCAGCAGTGCGTCGATCTGGCCCTGCAGGGTCGGCATTGCCTTCAGCAGCTTCTCCACTGACATGGTCCTCATCACTCCTTCAGCTCTGAGACACAAAAGGAACAGAGGGTCAGGATTAAAAAGACAGAAATTTAATTTTAACATTTTAAGCTGGCAAAGAATCTGAGCATTAGCTCTGATAATTGCCTGAGATGGAGTACAGTCACTGCTGAGGCAGACTTTGATATTGTCTGGTTGTCACACAACAATCCCACCAGTATTTCTGTTCCTTTAATGTACAGTATGTACAGACTGACTGATAACTAAATCTCCCAGTCTACGTCTGCAGCTGTAGCCTGCGTCCAGGTTCAGACAAAAGTACTTTGTTTCTGCCAATAAAGCAGAGCCATCCAATCCGTGACCATGAGTAATTACCCATTCAAATCAAGCCATGTACTTGGCCTAATGCCATGTTAAAGGCCACTAAGTTCACCCCATGCACTAACACTTCCTCTATGGGATGTTTTTTATTGTAATTAATGCTTAGGTAACACTCAGGAACATACAAGCCCAAGACAGTAAGCAGTATTAAAGTCCAAATAATCATACAGGATAACAGTGTTAGGAGATTAAAAAAAAAAAAAATACCGTACCCTTTTTTGACTCGTCCAAAGTCGAAAGACAACTGTCTGTAGGCAAAGGCTTTCTCGTTTAGGTAACGGCTGTAGCGTCTGATAAACGTTGACATGTCGTAGCCTGCAGACAGATTCAAAAAAGAGAAAAACTCTTAGTTTGGTTCAAAATTTTAGTAGCTGGGAACCCTACATCTGTCAAAGTCAAAGAGTCAAGTTGCTGATTTTCTGTAGTAAGTAAAAATGAGCAAAACCTCACATCGACTGAAGAGAAACATGTTTTAAAGGTAGCACCTATGTCAACTAATCTAATCTAATGGGCTCATCCCAGAAAACATCTCACATGTGTTCTGCAAGGCTAAAACCATTTTACCCTATTCTGTTGACTGCAGTAGCATGAGTGCCAGGTGTTGAGACAGCAGCTTGGGGAAATATTCTAATGTTTTACTGTTCAGTCACAGAATGTAGAGAAAAGGAAGCCTGACATCTCAGTAGGTTTCACAGTCTGTCATCTGTTTCCCCTGCTGTAATCAACTCATCAGAGCCAAACACATCCACTGCCATATCTCTGTATGTGTGATTGTTCCTGGGTCGTAACTATCGCTCCTGGTATGTTGAAGTTCCCATGGATTTTAATTTTATAAGATGAAGTGATAGAATTGTTTTCTAAAGCTCAAAGGCCTGCCAGTCAACCGTGTATAAATGTTTCAGGGCTGTTGTGTTCCCTGCCCTTCTGTTTCCTCTTCTCTAATCAGCACCTGCCTGCAGACATCTCATCATCTTCCCCTGGTCACCAGAGTACACAAACTGGCAGCAGCTCAGTCAGACACATATTAAGATTCAGAAGGAAAACTCTGTGTTTGGTCCAGGACACAGTTCCACCTGATTTACAATGCTTATGACAGTAGGGTGTAAAAACACTATTCATCTCCATGGGTGTGGATTGAAGCCCGAGGTATTTGTCTATGAAGCGGAAAATGTTCACAGAGGCACGACGCACCATGGGAGCCAGTTTTGTCCAGGAAGTTGCTGAGGTTGAAGAGTGTGTTTCGAGAAGCCAGGAACTGCAGGAATTTCTGTAAGGGAAGATGGAACGCTTTGTGAGACACTCAATGAAAAATCATTAATCTAAAAAAGCAACTCAGATAGTAATTTGGGTTTATTATGGAGTTAGCTGTAAAGTAAATGACCACAAAGACCCAGTTTCATTTATATTATTCTATCCTACATTTTTGATAAATGGCAGAAACATTTTATCAAGTGATGAGACATTTACAACTTATGCACTGGCAAAAGGTCCAGTCACCTAGGTGTAATTACTGTGAGACAAAATGTGACAGGTTGTGAGACAAAATGGGAAAATGTGTGAGGAGAGTCGTGTTTTGCTCATTTCAGAAAATAAAAACGCCCACGAACAGAATATTAATCAGTCTTCGGTTTAACAATGAGCCTGGTGCTGATTTAATTAGTGCTGATTTATTTATTTTTTACCAAAAACTTAGCTAGAGCACAATCAAACCTATCAGCACCACAGACCATTATCATTTAAACACAAAAATATATAGGTATTTTATAATGTCCATCAGATGTTTACATGAATACAAAATCTGCAGTACATTTGGGAGTACACTGAATCATTCAAGTTGTTTTTTGGTCCATATAGTGTTTCTGGAGCACTGGGTCTCAGTTACCATAGTTGATCGTAGTGGTACTCTAAGAGGTTCTTTGTAGACTGATGATGTTCTGCTTTTAGCTAAAGTGTATGAGATTCAATACAGTTCTTTTTCTGTGTAACATTCAGTAAAGAATCCAATAAAAATAAAAGGGAGAAATAACAGAGAAAAAGATAATTCAGTGTTAACAGCAGATTTGTTTGTGGAGAAGTTTTAAAGGAATAATACAACATTATTTTTATGTGAACAGGATGTAGAAAAACAAATGCAGCCAACGGCCTAGCAGTTAAAGAATCAGGCCTCTGACTGGAGAACAGTCTGATTACGATTCCAGGGAGGACTGCAATGTGTCAAGCTAGTCCCAAAATCTGTCCTGTTTGTAGTAAAGAGTTGCCCTCTGCTGCAGTTTAACATTGGGATAAAATGTAGACACATTATGTTGTGTATCTAGGTGCAAATAACTGAAGCTACTTCTGTTTCATCTATAACACACAGTAGAAATAATAAAGAAAAACTGTCCTGCAGATACACATCGCTTCTCCAGTTACTTATTATGTCTCTGATATAAGTCACAATATTACTTCAATATAAAAAAACACATCTTGCAGCATTGGCAATAACATTATATGTGAGCCACAGAGCTGCAGTAATATCTAACACTGGAACTGGTTTAATTATAATATATTTTAATTGCCTCTAGTCATAATGAGAGAAAGGAATTTTGGCAATAAAAAAGAGAAAGATTCAAGCGTTAAAGACAGTTCAATGTTTGAAGGTTGTTTTAAAACCCTTAGCATTTATCTATCCAATATTCATCCTGTTCATATTCCTTCATTTCAAATGCATTTTTCTTGGCTTCTTGGTGCATCACTACCTGCCCCTATCCTTAACTGTATGTCAGCTGTAAGAAGGCAGTTCAGTTCATTGGACAGTTTAACAATATCTATTTGTCAGTTTACCCTGGATTGACCTTTTCTATTCTTTACACATCAGGTCATAAAAGGGGTCAGGAGGTCACATACCACAGGGCATCTGCTGCTTTGTTGGCAACAACAAGGGTATATGACAAATGGCTACACTGAAAAAAGGGAATTTTGTGGAATCTGACATTTAAAAAAAATATCATGTATCATTATTCAAAGGTCAATTTGGATTGACCTTTGAATATGATTTTAATATTCTAGAGGTCGTGAAAATATTGTATTTTAATTTCAAACTAAATACAACCCTGTTTGGCTAATTATTAAAAAAAAATAAATGAAAGCATAGTGAACAACAAAAACAACAAAAAGACAACACAGCAATTCAAAAAACTACTTACAAGACTATGAGAAAATGACAAGAACTTGGTAGAACTTCACAGAATATCCAAGACACATTGAACAGAGGAGCACAAACAGAAACCCAGTCCACTGAGGATGAGTGGACACAGGGTAAACAATTAAAACACAGGTGAAATGAATCAAGGTAATCAACAGTGGACGATACAGAGCAGAGAGTCAAAACCAGCAACAAACTACAAAATAAAACAGGAAATGAAAAACTAAAGGAAACTAGACACTATGTAGAAGTTTATGGTGGTCATGTTCATCTCTTGGTAAAATAGATACCAAGTTTACCAACATAAATTAACGAGTGTGGGTTGCATTGAGGAACCTAATTACATTAGGTGATGTTAAGAACCAAAGAAGTAAGGAGGTAGGGATTGGATATTCACCATTCAAACCTATAAACCAAAGACCTATTCTACAGTATGCTAATTAAATTAGCCAATTAGCACAATCCATGTCTCTCATTAGGCCCATTTCTTACGTCCAGAGCAGAATCACCGGTCTGTTAAGCGAGGAACCCTACATTAATAAAAGGTAACTTGTAATTTGTAACCAATTATTTACTTGACATTTTGAACTGCAGCTTGTACTAAACACTGCTCTTACCACCATGCATTTAAGCAGCTGTATATACGTCCGGTGTGGAGAGTAGTGTGTGGATACTCCAATCAAGCACTGCCCTACTTTACACCTGACAGATTACTACTACCACCAGTCATCAGCTGTGCACACTGGGAGCTGCAGTCACATTATGAGTTATTAGCCATGCACTAAAAAGAAGTTTGTTAAACAGAAAGTAAAATAAACACCAACTCTATTCTCCTGAGAACTTCTCTTGGGTATACAAACCTAAATCACAGAAGAAATAACAGAGCGTGTTGTAATTTCACCTCATTTCCATGCACCATGAGATGGTGAGTGGTGATCAGGGCTTTGAAGACCACCACCCAGCTGGCATTGCTGACCCTCTCCAATAGTGTGTCGGCCATCTGAGGGACATTCACGGTAGTCTCCTGGGTGGCCTGGATCAGGTCTATAAGAAGAAGAAGAGAAGAAGAACATGTGGATCAACACATGTTATATATGTATTTGTATGCAATATACTGTATATGTGTAAATGTATGTCTTTATATATTTATACATATCCACACAAGAGCCTTTAGGTTTTATGTAATGAGCTGTTTGAACTTTGCATGAATACATTTATATTTTACTGTACAAAATCGCTAGTATCATCTAGTACTTCACCCCAGTTAAACTGTGTTAGATTAATACAACTACGTTAGGTTAAGTTAATGTATTATCATCATTATTTATTTTATTTTATGGTCTGTATTGTCATTGTACCACAACATCATCTACTAAAGCAAGTTTTGCTATTTTCAAGACTAGTGCATGTGAAACCATCACTGCCTGGTGTGAGTTCCCACAGATGCTGCTTTGATCTTGTCTAAACCCAGTCATTAATGCCACAACAGGCAGAGGAAAAGTGGATTATTTCACAGCACAGGGGAGATGAGAAACTGAAAAAGGGAAGGACTAATGCAATGAGACTTAGACTGGTATAAAGCACTCAAAGAGGTTATGAGAGACTGAGAAAAAGACTTTGCAGTGCTCTAGACTGCAAATACAGTTTTCTTTCTTGAATCTGAGAACCAGCACATTGTTATTTCTACAGCACTGAATTGTCAGAGACCATTTTCAACCTGGTAATAGCAACAAATCAGCAGTATGTCCACATCCTTGAAAGCAATAAACTGACCAGGCCAATGAGCAGGCATCGTTCAGCTGGCATCATCCCCCACTGAGACCATAAATGGGTCGCTTTACAAAATCCTGACAGTGCTACCAGATGTCCACTATTTCAAGCAAAAAATTCCAAAGAAGCAATCTAACGGAGTACCTTGACAGTACCCATTAAATAAGCCCAACATCGAGCTGTTTCCTGCTGGATGACAGTGGGGCAACGAGTTCCCAACATTTATCAGCAGCAGACAGCAGTGATGTTCTCTAAAGGCACAGGACTGAGATAAGTACACACAGAGTGATGGACAGAAGGGGGAAGACAGCATGACTTGTGTCATTTTAAAAGGCTTGATTCAGCAGAGGAGAGTGGCCATACTGAGTACAGACACTCATTAACAATGTCACTATCATCTCTGGACATTTACAAATCAATAGTCAAGGAGGCAGCTGAGAGGTGTCGGTTCAATTTTCTGCTTCTGCCCTAAAATAGGATGCCAGTGGAGCTGACATCTCATCACACACAGGCATTCGGTTTCTTGTGGATCAGTTTGCAAAGGCGTCAATCTTACGAATATAAACAGTGAACACATTTTCTAATGTACTAAACATTTGAAGATATCTAGTCGGTCACTTGTTGGATGAACTTGTTATGGTTCATACTAAACATTTGAAGATATCACTTGTTGGATGAACTTGTTATGGTTGTTAAATCTTGGTTATTTTATCAGCAACAGCTGTTTCCTGTTAGTCTGTTGATACCAAGAAACTAACATTATACTAGTTTCTCTTCTTTGATTAATTACTAAGTTCATGACTGAAAAAGTTGATGTTTATGAGACTTTGGTGCCACCTAGCAGTAGTTTTGCTTGCTAACGGTAAAACAGATAGATAGTAAGAAAGAGAATAGGCAAAACATTATTAATTAAAACTAATAAAACCCTCAGTACCTTCATTTTACTAGATTTAAATCATAACACAATAGAAAAGATGGAGAGACAGACAGAGAGAAAGAGAGAGAGAGAGAGAGCGGAAACAATCCCAGCTCTGCTGTGACTTTGAACAATTCAGCAG